CGACATTTCAGGCACCTCCTACACCTCCCACACCACCTTCTAAGGTACCACAAACTCCTCCCTTGTAAATATTATTTTCTGCTTTGCATATTTTCTTTGTTTTTGCATCTCTCTCTCATCTTTTATTACACAATGGGACTGTGTAATTTAAGTGTGGGGGAGGGTTTTGTGTATTTGACATTACGTTTTATTTTCTTAGTTTTTATTGCATAAGAGTCTAAGCATTCATCTAAGTGCATTTAAAAAACCAAAAAATCGAAAAAATTGAAAATTTTGCATCTTTTGCAAACCAAAAAAGAAAAGCATATAGTTTCATTCATTTGTTTAGGAATGAGTCTAGCATTTTTCATATATGTTGCATTGCATTTGCATAGGGCATGATGATGATAATTCCTTGTAAAATGCTAAGTGTTTAGGATTGATTCAAATGTCTAAGTGGTTAAATGTTTGATGCATCATAAGAAGTTAGAAACTAAGGCTGAACCATGCTCTTGAATGCTAAATTTGATCCTCTAGTCTCATACTGAAATCATTTGCTCATTGAAAGTCATCTCTATTTATTAGAACCATTCATTTGAAGTGTTAATTATCATGTTTTTGCAATAAAAAGTGGTTTCATGGATTACCCATATACATATTTGGACTTTCTTTCTTCCTTTTTACCTCTCTTGCTAGTCCAAATAGCTGATCCTTGTCATTAAGGGACAGTTACCACATCTTAACCTTACCTTCCTTTCAAACCTAAACACTATCTTTTGTGTGTAAGGCCTATTTTTGAATGAACTAAGCATAAAGTGTTAGGTTGGCACTACAAGGATTGGTTACTTGATATATCATGGTTTTTATGGTTTTTAACCATGGTATAAGTCCTTTTTATTGAGTCTTTTTGGTCTTTTTAGAGTCCTAGTAGAGTCTTTGCAGGTTATAATATGATTGGAGTACAATTGGAGGTTTTGGAGCTTTTTGGATCATAGCAAGAATCATTCCCGAAGGAAGTAACTCAGAAGGCTTACGCTGCACTGGTGACGATTGTCACCACTCAGTCGTGTCGCTCGTCACCCACATCTGAGGAAGGAATCGCACTTTTGGCCCAGAAGTTTCACTTATTTGCAAAAGTGCCCCTCTTCGTTTTAGGCCTATATTTTAGGGTTTTCAGCCACTTTTGGTTTGTATATTATTTTCTAGAGAGATTTTGAGAGAGATTTGTAGCAGAGCTTTTGGAGAGACAAATCAGACTCCTTCAGAGCAGATTTCGAACTCCTTTATCTTTATTTCTTATTTCTTTTATGCAATATATTCTATGCATGATGTTTTCTCAATTCACCATGTCTGAGTAGTTTGTTAGTTAGGTTAGGATCATTCAAAGGTTGATGAAGAGTTTGTAGAATTGCTAAACTGATAGGAAATTCATTGGTTCTTTATATGTGTTTGCATTCATATCGATTTCTGAGACTAATCATCTAGATTTCGAAACCCTTGGTTGTTTAATAGATGTGAGAACATTGTTAATCACCTGAACTAGTATTAGATGAGCAAAATGCCTATTTGCAAAGAGATTTGACTTAGGAGTTTTGTGAACCATCGAAACCTGATCTTTGATGCTTGCATGCATTCTACATTCTCGGATTTATTTTGTTATTTCGCATTACATTCACTCATTACTACTTAGCTTAATCCGAACTTGAATTTTATAGTGTAGTTTACTTACTCCCTTGGATTCGATAACCCCTTATACTATAACTGCTTTGTTGTGCACTTGAAGTAGTTTTATTTGGGTAAAACCTGAGCCCTATCATTACTATGTAGAACTAGCTCTTCACTTTGAGTTAGACATAGGTTTAGGATGGTAGTTATAGGTCTGGGCGGATTTGGGTGTTATGATGATCTAAAAGAAGGGAGTGAGAGAAGAAAGAAAGTGAAGGGAAAAGGGAATGGGAAAGAGGAAGCAAGCAAACACTCAGCATGTGTGGAATCAAATAAGCTCAAAAAGGGTGGCCATTATGAAGAAGGAGTCTCATCAACAACAACGAAGAAGGCACCGAAGTCTAATACATCAAAAGGATGAAGAAAAGGAGTTTCCCCAATACAAAAAGAAGGCGCCCACAACAAAGGAGCAAAAGGAAGGCCACAACATGGAGAGATCAAAGAAGAAACTTCTCTGAAAAATGGTAAAGTGTGGAGAGTGTGAGAATGATGAGAAAAAGGTATTTAGGATTGGGTTTGATTTGGGTTAAGAGTTTGGGTTTTAGAACAATCTTAGGCATTGGGTAGATATTTATCTATCCTTTTATGCATAAGTTGTGCTTCACATTTAGCATTATGCCTAAGTTCATTCCTTTTTGAGAGAAACCCTTGCATTTGAATCCACATTTTGAAGAGATCATTTTTATCTCATGACCTTAACCTTTAGCCAAATGATTCCACTTGATTTGCTTAAACATGATTCACATGGTTACATAGTTTAAATGAATGTTAAAGAGATTGATTGATTTGAGCATTTGACTAAGTTGAGCTAGAGATCATTTTGAAACTGGATAGGCATGGCTAGGTTCTTTAAAGTATAACTGATTGTGTTTTGCATCCTACACTTAGGCACTTAGATATTGATTTAACTTCTTTACCTTAGCATTTTTGGATTTGAGTGCTCACCTTCAAACCTCACTTCTTTCTTGTCTTAGTTTGTTTGCTTGAGGACAAGCAAAAGGCAAGTGTGGGGATGTTGATATCTCCATTATTTATACCATCTTAGCATGCATTCATCACTAGTTTTAGTATCTTAACATGCATATTTTGCTTCTTCTTGTCCCATTTGCATACATTTAGAAGTTAGTGTAATTTTAGGATTGTAATGAATTTTGCATACATTTGGAGTTTTATTCAAGTACTAGAAGGAGCTGGGAATGGAGCAAGGAGAAGGGCGAGGTCGGATGGACCAATATTGAGCAGGATATCGATGTGATCTGATCGATATGAAGCATACCGAGGTGAATATCGATGACCCCACGTCGATACAGAAGGAGCATGGTGTACAAGGGCAGCATATCGACAAGGAGAACCTCGATACACGAAGGAGGATTTATACCGATCAGTGTATCGATCACCTAAGTCGATACACCAGAGACAGGACAATATCGAAGTGCTATATCAACATGAAGCTGCTCTATATGCCTTAGGAAAAGGGCGATTGTATCGATTTCCACACCTGGAGAGTCAAACCGATACACCCTTGAAGCCTTGTTTATCGATCACCATATCGACCAGGAGGATGTCGATACAAGCACAAGAAGACCCAATATCAACGTTTTATCAATGTATGAAGCCGATATAGTCCACCCGAGTTAATTCGGTTTATTCTTGGTTTATTATGGGTTTCGAAGCTTCCCTATAAATACTAAAGTCCTAAAATGATTAGGCAACTTAGATCTTATTATTTTCCTACTGTTCTAGCATTAAAAACCTTTCATTTTTCAGCTTTTCTTTGTAAGAACTAGTTTGATTTAGTGAATTTCTGCACTTGCCTTTAATCTGGTCTTGCTTATTCTGCTTTCTAATCATGCTTAACCATTATTTCTCTTTGGAATCTGTTGTTTTGACTATGACTAGTGAGTAATCTTAATTAGGGTTTGACATAAAATAGATTAGAGGGGTTTTAGGATTAGATTAGTGATATCTTATGCTTAATATGATTGTCTTCTCTCTATTAAATGTGCTTAACACTAGATTGGTCTTGGCCAGGCTTGTTTAGTATCTTGGCTTTCTCTTATACCTGATAAGTGTTTGATGAAATGCTGCAGTGAGTCTTTTAGAGGATTTGTTCTCTTAGCCTAAGGAATTAGATGTCTAAGGTGCACTTTGGCTTTATAGGATTGGAGTTCTGTTTAAATGTTTGCTGATTCATATATTTGAGTAATGGAAATTATCTTGAATATGTGTATAGAAAAGTGATTGATATCAAGGAATTGAGCTAGTTATAGTTGTTAATCCTATGCTTGAAGATAGCATTGTTTGAATGGTTTTGAAGCATCACTAGTTTAGTTCTAATGCCTTCTTAGTCAATAACCTCCATCTTAGATCCTTGATTTAATCTAATTGAATTTCCTGCTTTAAATCTGTGCTGCTTAGTCTTGTTTAGTTTGATCACAACTGTTTCTTGAATTTGGCTTCACTTAAGTGAACTGCTGCATCCTTAGTGTCTTATGAACCCATATGGATTGACACATTTCATACTGCAATGACATGAGTGTGTTAGGATTTGATTAGGCAAAATCCTGTTATCAGGTATGCCTTAATAAAACTGAAAAAGTATTTTATTGATATAGCTGGAAGTAGTGATGAGGATAAGCTACAACTGTTAGAAGTGATGATTGGTGTTTCTCGAAACAACGAAGATGCGCCAAAACTGTTAGGCTCGTGACCATCATATGGGAGTCCACATTCAGGAGAACTATCATCTGGCAGTCCATCCTCGGTGGATAACAGTACACGAGTATTAATTATTGACACCAAATGGTCAACAATGGGGCACACCACCCAATGCTCAACAATGAGGTTCATCCCAAGCTGCTCCTTAATGGAGAATACCACCAACTGCTCAACCGTGGGGCACATCACCAAATGCTCAACAATGACGCACACCACTGAACGCTCAACAATGGGGCATACCACCGAATGCTCCACAATGGGCTACACCACCAAATAATTCACAATGGGGGTTTTCACCAAACCAGACACAAAATTATCAACAAGAGGGTCCTCACGAATAACTCCGAGCTATGTTCAATAAGGATTTTCAGGTTGAAGTCAAGAACAAAGTATGAGAAATCCTCAACAAAACATTTCAGATTCTGCAGCTATAGGAAATTCAGCAAATCCTCAAGAAACATCATTACACGGTCTTGATTTCATAAATTATTATGAGCCTGCCCGTAAATGACCAACACCTACACCTGGAGGTCTATTCAACATATGAAGAAGCTCGAGTAGAACACATATAAATATAAATGAATATTGTAAAAGTGATTCAGAGGACGAAAATTAGTTTATGATAGTCATGTTTTACCATTCTCGTTTCTGTAACAAAAAATACAATATAATTTCATTATTGAGTTTTCATATATTCTGTTACTGTTTAATATAAATTTATAATTGCTTTTTGGTGTGTTTTCATTTATGTTTACAATTTTAGGCTTTTTGTATATGTCAGTTGAGAGCACAAAGATTGCAGACCCTAAGTTACGAAGAGAGACTTGAATTGTGGAATTTGGAAAATGAACAATTTGCAGAGTTAGTAATTCAACCAACACTCACTTACTATCAGAGATATTTTGAAAGAGCACCAGTACAAACTGAAGGAGGTTTGTGATGGAGAAATGTTTGGCATAGACTATAAGAAGATGACGTTAATTGTCTTCAGTTATTGTGAATGTCATTGCCATGTTTCTCAATATTGTGTGAGACGCTTCAAACAAATTATGGACTACATCCAACATTAAATATAAACGTTGAAGAAAGTGTTGCTATGTTTCTACGGATATGTGGGCACAATGAAGTTCAAAGACATGTTGGTTTGAGATTTGGACGAAACCAAGAGACTGTGTAGAGAATATTATTGAAGTTCTTACAGCGACTGAACAACTGGCATGTGATTATATTATAACTCCAACAAGAGAAGAGCTACACCGGATTCCTGAAAGACTTTTCGTAGATCAAACATATTATCCATTTTTTAATGGATTCGCTGGAGCTATGGATGGGACACAAGTATGTGTAAAAGTGAAGCCTGAGTTACAAGGAATGTATTGGAATCGACATGATCATGCATCTTTAAACATCATGGAAATATGTGATATTAATTTATGATTCACATATATTTGGAATGGAGAACCAGGATCATGCCATGTTACTGCTGTTCTGGCGATGGCACAACAAAGCGATCCTGACTTTCATTTGCCTATATTACAGAAATACTAAATGGTTGATTCTGGTTATCCAAACAAACAAGGATTTTTAGCTCCATACAGATCATCAGGAAATTGAGTTGTGAGATATCATATGCCTCAGTTCAACTCTGGTTCTGCTCCTAGGAATAAACAAGAGCTGTTCAACCGATATCATGCATCATTGCGTTCTGTAATCGAGAGGAGTTTTGGAGTTTGGAAGAAAAAATGGAGAATTCTTCTGGATTTTTCAAGATATGGTATAAACGTTCAAAAAAAAAGTAATAATGACTACAATGGGATTACATAAGTTTATCAAAAATTTAAATTTTTCAGATGCAGATTTTGCATATGTAATGACAGAGACATGAATAAACAACAGAGATTCGGAACATATGGCGCAGATAGGAGACAACATTGCAGATTTTGTGTGGCAAAATCAAACTACTCGATAATTTTTGGATTTTTTTAATATTATATTATTTTTTTAATCATTTAATATTTTTTATATATTATTAATTAGATATACATTTAAATGTTTAATTTAAATAATTTATGAGATTTAAGATTCATATAAAAAGAAATGTATCATTAAATATAAAATTTAAATTTATAATAATAATAATATTATTTTGAATTGCTAACTGTGTTTTCACCAATCAAAAATTATTTTGCAACACACTTTTTATATTAACCGCACTAGTTCCGCATAATGCATGTCTCGCAATTTAATCGTACTGCTTTCTAAATTCGCAGTTTTAATATCCCACAATACTCTGTCATTATCGAGAGCCATATATTTCTCCCAAATGAAGAAGAGTATTTTTGTCCATACTCAAAATTTGAGTTAAATTCTTCATTTCTGATTTTATATGATTATATTGTTAATTTGTAGGTTAAAATTATATATTGTTACGTCAAAAAAAGGAAGCAACTAGCAAGTGTACTATATGAATGGATAATGTTGATTTCTTCCAATTTATCTTTTTAATATTTAGCGTTACATATAGAAGATCTCAAGAAAATAAGAGGATGAATATGTAAATATTGATTGAGTGAGACTGTAAAGCAAGAAAAAGAGTTACATCTATCTATTACTAATAAAAGTTGATGCTAAATGCTTCTAAGGATGTCCACATAGGATTTAAAAATTCAATTCTATTGGTACATATCATCATTATCTTTAGTTAATTATATATTGTATATTAAATTAATTAATTTCGTTTTTTATTTTTAAAAATTTTTTTTTTAATTTTTAATTAATTTCGTTTTTGTTGTTATTAGGAAAATTTCTAAATTTTAAATTAGTTATTAAGAAAAAATGTTAGAAAGTAGATCTTTTTTTCTATTTTCAACAAAAAGTAATTTAACATATAAATAGATTATTAAGAAAAAATCATATATATTAAACAAAATAATTAAAAAATCTATTTAAGACCATCATTAAACTATTTCAAAATTTTAATAATGATAAAAAATTATAATCTGAGCTACCAACTTAAAATATATTAGTTATTGTCCATGTTGATGTTTTATACTGATGAGAGCGTCTACATAGAACATAGAAACTCAATTTGATTGGTCAAAATCAGCGTTTTTTATCAAACATAAAAAATATTAAATATAAATAACAATTTAAATAAATTAAAAACACAAAAATATAAATTATCATAGTATAATGGGAAGTTAATATAAATTATCATATATATTTTAAATGAGTAATTAATATAACAAAAATATTAAAGTTAAATTGTTATATAAACATATAAAATTGTTATTTAAAACTATCAATACTACAAAAACAAATTCATGTTAAATTAACAAAACAAATTCATCAAAAAATTTGATATATAGCCTAATTATTTATAAAATCAACACAAAAAGCTTAACTAACCAAAAAATAATATTTTATACTATTTACTAAAGATAAAAACATTTAACTAACAAAAAACAAAACAAAAATTATTTTTTACAGCATGTCAATACAATTAAAATGAAAATTAATATCAAAAAGGTTAAATTAACAAAGAAAAAAAAAACAAAATTAACTTGATATCTATGCTATTTATTTAACAAAATCAATATAAAGAAAATTATTAAGAGAATAAAAAAACTTAAGTCATACTAAAAAACTTAACTAACAAAAAAAAAGATAAATATTTAAGCTACTTCTTTAAAAATCAGTATTAATAAATTAATTAATCAATAAATAAAACGAAAATTAATTTTTACAAAATTTTATATTTAAAAAATTCATCTAAAAAGAAATTGACTTGATATATGACTATTTACTTAAGAAATCAATATAAACAAAATTTAACTAGCAAAATAACAAAAAATGAAATTATGTCTTTAAAATGTCAATATTTTGTGTTAAAATAAAATAGAAATCAATATAAAGAGATGTAAATGATCAAAGGCAAAATTCGTATAAAGTATATTTAGGCTAATGTTTTGGAAAATCAACATAAAAATATGACCTAAAAAAACAATGATGGTATAAGCTTTTGAGATAAGTCCACATAAAATTTAGAATATCGAGTTATAGCATGTCAAAACAATATTATAATTAAAATTTCAATTTAACAAAAAAATACTTATGTAAAAAAGATTAAATTAATATATATGCTACATATTTGGAAAATCAATAACAAAATAGCTTAATTAAAAATATATATGTTTTAAGTATATCAAACATACAAAAAATTATATAAATTAAAATAAAAAATAAAATTACTATTAAAAGATTTGTAAAATAACAAACAAACAAAATCTAAAAAGAAAATTAGTTTAAAATTTAGTTCCAGAAAATTTATGATTTCTAAAATATTGGTATTCACTATGAATAACCATATAAAATTACAGTATGTTATACGAGTTTCTAAATCAAATATATTATTTAAATTTATAAAGACTAATACTTTGGCTACGTCTGATTTAACACTTTCTAAAATTTTATTTAAATAATAATGTATGACAATGTCATGAATCAAATTCAAATTGGAATATATCTATATAAACTATTTAAATTAAAACATGAATACAACACACAAAAGATAAAAACAGTAAAAAATAATGTGAAGACTCCACACTATCTTACATGTTTTAAAAAAAAATTATAAAATAGTTAACTGCAAATAAAACAGATTTTATAAATTAAATAGAGATATAACCTAAACTTCGTAGAAGATCTGATGGAGAAGCAGAAGAAGTTTTACACAACTATTGTAGCATCCTAACAAAAGTAAATCTGAATCAACATGAATTATATATTATGTATGCATAGTTACACAACATCAGTGAGATATTAAATCAATAACTAAATATTTGAACATGTAAAATCTTTAAAAAAAAAACAACTATAGAAATCCTAAGATACAAGACAAAATACCAAAAGTTTAGTAAGAAAATCATTTTCTAAATCAAATATATGCACGTCGAAGTTGAATAATTCGTTATGTGTCATTACTATGATTAGACTTAATAAAATTTTAAATTTTCTAAGCAAAAAATAGGAAAAACTACAGATTATGTTTTAAAAATTTTTATATAAAAGAAAATTTATATACATATATTATAGTTTTTATAATTTAAAAGATATGAACAAAAAAAAGAATTAAATCAAATCAGTAATACAGACTCGCGCATAGCGCGAGTTAAAAACCTAGTAATATATAAAAGTTGATGGTATAGTGCATTGATGACATCCACATAGGACGAAGAAACTCGATATGATTGGTCCACATTAGCAATTTTTATTAAATAAAAAATGTTAAGTATGATTAAAAATTTAATTTCGTTTCAATCACAGAAAATTAAATAAATAAGTTTAAGTAACAAATAGAAAAGAAAAGTATGACAAAAAACCATAAAATAGTATCTTTTAAAATAAAATAGAAATTTGTTTTCAAAAGAGTTAAACTAACAAAAAAAACCACTATCATAAAAGTTCAAACTTATAATATAGATAAGAAAAATTCTAACTTAAACAAAAAAATGATAAGTATGATTTAAAATTTTAATTTCGTTTTAATCATTAAAAAATTAAATAAAAAAATTTAAGTAACAAATAGAAAAGAAAATTATGTTAAAAACAAAAAAAATGGTATCTTTTAAAATAAAATAGAAATTTTTTTTCAAAAAATTTAAACTAACAAAAAAAACCAATATCATAAAAGTTCACACTTATAATATAGATTAAGAAAATTGTAACTTCTAAATTAATTGAGCAGAAAATATAAAATATTGATTTTGCTTTATAGATGGAAAAAGCAAAATAAAAAAATTTAAGTAACAAATAGAATAGAAAACTGTGTCAAAAAAATCAAAATATAGCACCTGTCAAAATTTAAAACATTAACTTCGTTTTATCGATGAAAAAATTTAAATAAAAAGGTATAACTAATGAATAGAAAAGAAAATTTTG